GAGGCAAAGTATAGGGAATCACCAAAAACTGAGACAGGTAATCTCATGAATGCTCTCACTACCATGAGATATGATGGGGTTCAAAGTGTGCGAGAATACATATTGAAACTGGTGGACGTTGCTGGAAAACTCAATGCACTCGAGGTACCAATTTCTGATACTTTTCTGGTACATGTCATTATGAATTCTCTGCCTGAAAGTTATACACAACTCAAAGTTTATTATAATGGTCTACGTGAGAAATGGGATGTGAATGAATTGATAGCTATTTGTGTGAGTGAAGAAGAAAGGATGAAGAAAGAAAGGTTTGAGAAAGAGAGAATTGAGTCTGTGAACTTTGTCCAAAGTGTCACTAGGGCCACTAAATCTTATGTTCCCGATACTGCCAAAAAGGATTCTACCAAGTCAGTTCCCTCTCCTAAAAGAAACTTCAAACTTAATAAACCTTCAGTTTTCAAGTGCTATTTTTGCAAAAAGGCAGGCTACATGAAGAAAAATTGTCCCAAATATAAGGCTTGGCTTGCCAAACAAGAAGCAAAGCAAGGTAAAAATGTTTTTGCTTGCTTTGAATCAAATTTAATTAACATACCTAGCACTGAATGGTGGCTTGACTCGGGCTCTTCTATACATGTTACAACTTCATTACAGGACTTCACAACAAGGAGAACACCAAATAAGGATGAAGTCAAAGTTTCGGTTGGCAATGGAAGAAGAGTTGAAGTCAAAGCCTTAGGAAGTGTTAGACTAAAGCTAGAATTTGGTTTTTATTTAGAGTTAGATAACGTTGTTTATGTGCCTTCCATGAAAAGGAAGTTGATTTCTATTTCAAAGCTAGTGTTATTGGGTTTTTATTTTACTATTAATAAAAGGGGCTTTGACGTTTTTTATGAATCTTCTCAAGTAGGGCATGGTTTCATGAGTGATGGTATGTTTCAAATTAAATTGAATCAAACTGAATATGTTTTCAACGTACATGATGATAAAATCAAAACTCAACAGTCTTCAATATTATGGCATAAGAGACTCGGCCATATTTCTAAACAAAGAATGGAACTGCTTGTCAAAAACGAAATTCTCCCTCCATTAAACTTCAATGATTTTGATTTTTGTGTGGATTGCATTAAAGGGAAAATGACAAACACTAGGAAGGAAGGCTCAACTAGGAGTAAGCAACCCTTAGAGATCATTCACACTGACATTTGTGGTCCTTTTCCCACACAAACCTTAGAAGGAAACAAATATTTCATTACTTATATTGATGATTTCTCAAGATTTTGCTTCATTTATTTGATTTCAGAAAAGTCTAAAGCACTTGAAACTTTTAAAATTTATAAAAGTGAAGTCGAAAATCAATTGGAAAGGAACATTAAGGTTGTAAGATCTGATAGGGGAGGAGAGTACTATGGTAGATATACTGAAATTGGTAGAAATCCTGGACCCTTTGCGTTATTTCTGCAAGAACATGGAATTGTAGCCCAATATACCACACCAGGTACTCCGGAGCAAAACGGAGTAGCCGAGAGGAGGAATAGAACTCTCATGGACATGGTAAGGAGCATGATTTGTAGAACTAATCTGCCAAGTTGTTTGTGGGGTGAAGCAGTGAAAACTGCAAATTATATATTAAATAGGGTACCTTCAAAATTTGTGGAAAGGACACCTTTCGAACTATGGACAGGCAGAAAACCTAGTTTAAACCATTTGCATGTATGGGGCTGTAGAGCAGAGGCAAAGATATATAATCCAGGCTACAAGAAACTTGATTCAAAGACTGTCAGTTGTCATTTTATTGGATATGCTGAAAGATCAAAGGGTTTTAGATTTTATTGCCCTAACCAAAATACAAGAATTGTCAAAACTGGAAAAGCAGTTTTCATGGAGTCTGATTCAAGCATCGATTCTGGGACAAGGGTTGAAGGGTTCGTATTTGAAGAACAAATAAACAATAAAGAAGCAGCAGTTGAAGACGTTGATCGTAACACAGCGATTATGGCACCAATAGTTGTAGTAACCGAGAACATGGGAAGCAATGATTCTGATGAACCATGTAACGAGATAGAGGTTGCACATGACATCGAACTGCACGATAACACTGTTGTACAAGACGTGTTTGAAGAGGTTGTGACAGAAAATCAACAACAACAACACCATGCACATGAAGACAACATCACGACTGTGGGTGCTGCAAATATAAGAAGGTCATATAGGATTAGAAAACCTACAACCCTAAATGATTTCGTATATTTGACACAGGTTGACACTGATCTTTCAGAGTTTAATGATCCGATGAGTTACAAAGAAGCAATTGCAGGACCAGATGCTGATAAATGGATAGAAGCCATGGAGAGTGAACTGAGTTCGATGGCAAACAATCAAGTGTGGGATTTAGTGGAACAGGCAGAAGGATCAAAACCCATAGGATGTAAATGGGTTTTTAAAACAAAAAGGGATTCAAACGGAAACATAGAAAGGCACAAAGCCATGCTTGTTGCGAAAGGCTTCACACAAAAGGAGGGTGTAGACTACAAAGAAACATTCAGCCCCGTGTCGACAAAGGATGCGTTTAGGGTTATCATGTCTATGGTGGCTCACTTTGATTTGATTTTACATCAAATGGATGTAAAAACGGCGTTCTTGAATGGGGACCTGGAAGAATGCATTTACATACGACAACCAGAAGGTTTCAATGAGGGAGAAGGAAGAAACCTAGTGTGCAAACTCAACAAATCCATATATGGATTGAAGCAAGCATCACGGCAGTGGTACTTGAAATTTCATAGAATTGTGAAAGAACATGGCTTCACCGAGAATCCTTCAGACAATTGCATCTATCTAAGGTTCAGTGGGAGCAACTTTATCATCCTAGTTCTCTATGTGGATGATATATTGCTTGCCACGAATTGTCACAGTTTGTTGGATGATACAAAAACCTTTTTGCAGAAGCATTTTGAAATGAAAGACATGGGAGAAGCGACTTATGTTTTGGGCATTGAGATCAAAAGGGATAGAAGGAGAGGCTTGCTAGGATTGTCACAGAAAGCATATATAGAGAAAATGTTAAGAAGGTTTAACATGTCTTCGTGTGGAACTGAGATGCCTATATCGAAGGGTGATAAATTGAGTAAGTTGCAGTGTCCACAAACAGACTTAGAGAGGAAGGCTATGGACGACAAACCATACGCCTCCCTGGTGGGAAGTTTAATGTATGCACAGGTGTGCACAAGGCCTGACTTGGCTTTCACCATTTCTGTGCTTGGGAGGTTTCAATCCAATGCAAGTGAAGCTCACTGGAATGCTGCCAAAAGGGTTTTGAGATACCTTCAGAGAACCAATGACCATATGTTGGTGTATAAAAGAACCGAGAGTTTGGTTTTGGAAGGGTATAGCGATTCAGATTTTGCAGGTTGTCCAGATGATATGAAGTCGACTACAGGTTATGTTTTCTTAATGGCATGTGGTGTGGTTTCTTGGAAGTCTGTCAAACAAGGAACTGTGGCAGCATCAACAATGGTTGCAGAGTATTTATCAGTCTGTGAAACAGTGAATCAAGCTGTTTGGTTGAAGAATTTCATTATTGGGCTTCAAGTAGTGGACTCTATATCAAGACCTATACAGATTTTCTGTGATAATAATGCAGCCATATTCTTTACTAAGAATAATAAGAGGTCTAATGCAACAAGGAATTTGGATATAAAATATCTCATTACTCGAGAGAAGGTGATGGTCGGTCTAGTTAAAGTTGATTATTTGAAGACTGGATCCATGATTGCTGATCCATTAAATAAAGCAGTTCCCACCATTGTTTTCAAGAAGCATGTCACTATGGGAGTCTTGGCTGGTTTTGATGAAGCGAATTAGTGGGAGCTATGCAACAGGTTTAAACTTTTATGCTAGTTTTAATTCAATAACAATTTATGTTATGGAGGATAAGTTTTGAGTATTAACAATGAAGTTTTCTTAGCTAATAAAGAATAAAGTTGAAAGGTTGTTCAAGTTTCCTTAAAGGGTTCAGCTGTTAGCTATGATAATGCATGAATATTTTTGCATGCTGTTTAGGATTCTTATTCATTATACAGTGTCGGACAACCTGAGGGCTTTATATAGAAGCACATGGATCGTTTTTCGATTCTGAAAGGGACCAAATGTTTGACATAATTAATACATGTTCGGTTGTGTCTTACATGCTATATATCTTGTTGGAATCTTATGTGTTGATAAGCTTTACTGCAAGTAATTATGGGGACGGTACTCTTCAGTGTAATGAGTGTGTTGCCCTATAATTCTCATAAATGCTTAACAATGACGAAGACTGGAAAACTAAGAAGTGTCGCAAGTTAATCTCATGGCCAATTCATATCCTTCCCAACTCCAGTATGATTATACAACTTTACAAAGTATTTGCTCTAGTGGGAGAATGTAAGTTCTATTGAGAGCAAACACTTTGTGATTTGTACAAAGACTTTTGGGACGACAAGGAGATTAACATTAACACATGCGGTAGACTTTTAAGGAGTTGTATTACTTAGGTATACAAGTCAGAAACATTCTTAGATAAACTAGAACTCTTCTAGCTGATTTATGCATAAGTAATCTTCGGTGATAAGGTTAATCTTTGATAGGGTTTACTTAATGGGAGGACTCCTAATCAAAGACCATCACATATAGTATATAACTGAGGTCCTTGTGCTCTCACTAAATACGCAAGTATACAGAAATTCTCAAGCCCCATTGAGTGAGTCTTGCTTCCGGTCAGTGCAGAGATATAGAAGAGCCTCAGTTCTTCACCCTATTTCTGAGACGATGTCTTCCTCAGGTTAGTGGTTAGATCGGTATATGAGTCAGTTGTTATATAACTTATAAATCTTGACTTACAGATTTGTCATTAGAGTTAGCATATTGATGATTGTGGGTTGAGCAATGGATACTGAATAAAGATATTAATATTCACACACTTATTTTTATCTCCCACGCATCTTTATTAATTTTTTGTCATTGAAAGATAAGATAAAAACATCTTTGATTGCTTAATTTTCATTCCTGAGATAAAACACACATGCATGCAACAATGCTTTCACAATTAAAAACAAATGGTGTGTACAATATCACATCCAAATTAACATCATCTCAATACCATTAATAATCAAAATAAGAAAATATTGGGGGGAAAGTTAAACAAATGGACGTAGGGAGGGGGAGGCTCGACATTCTCTCATGACGATTGTTCCCTTCCCAACGATTGCTCTGTTGGATCCATCAATCTGCAAGGCCATAAATCAAGACAACATTCTGTGATCAAACAATGTTCATAAGAGAAATTTTCAATGCAATGTGTTTATATGTACGATAGCTAAAGATAGATCTAGATAAAATAAAATAAAAATCATTTATTAATTCCTCTTTAATTATATTAGTGTGTGATGTTTTTGTTGCTTAACATAAACAAAATTGCTTGCATTTTTGGAGGGAATACTTTTGCTCATCACCTTATTTATCTCGGTTATATGAGTTTAAATTTCGATATATGTATATAGGATAGACACAATCTCAAAATGTAAACTCATCCAACGAGTGGTGAGCATTACTACCACTTGAAGGCCGGTGGTGAACAAAAATGCATATAATTCAAAAATACTACTCTTACCATTTATTTGTACCATTATTTGTATCATTTCTCTAATAGAGATGAGACCCACATATGTTAATGGACTTTACCTCTATTAGAGAGATGGTACAACTAGATAATAAGTGTAGCATTCATTTTTGAATCCCTAAAAGAATACTCATTTCCAACTTCCAAGACCAGCGATCTAGCTAGGAATGAGTACGTATTATAAACAAAAGAAAATTGTTGTTGTTATTCAAAAATATTAATCTGCACTCTTATTTTATTTCATGTATTTTTATATGTTTAAAGTGGTATAGAACTTTTTAAAGTCTTACTAACATTTTCAAAACAAAATAGAACTTTGTAAATACGAATATAATAAAAAATCCACCCATCCCATAAAGTTCATGTTTCAAGTTAGGCTACGGATTAGATATATAATGTACGTAACTACGTAGCACTAGTTAAGTAATTAATTACTTCATGGTTATCTTAAGAACTTACGTAGATTTCTTCTTTTAGAGAGAGCAAGTGAAACCAGGAGGAGGACTCTTGCCACAAGTGACAAGGAGCTGAAGAGCCAGTGGGACAAAGATGTTGAGGTTAAGAAGCTTGATTTTGAGAGTAGTGCAGAGGCACACTGCAGCTTCAAGTTCAACAAGCCCTTGCAGCACCGGGCAGCACTCGTTCACCACCGGGTCACCCTGCCCAACGTGGACCAACCCGCCTAGAAGATCCACACAAGCACCCAGTTTCAATGTGTCAATGGGGCACGTGTTCCCTGGCGGTGGAGGGCATGGTGTCCCTGGACTTGGTGGCTTCGTAGCTGGGGGCCCCCCTATGACTGGTGGGATTATCCCAGGTGGGATTATTGGAGGAAGGGTCACTGGTGGCTTAATGGGTGGGATTGTAACGGGTGGGATTGTGACTGGTGGTTTTACGATGGGTGGGATTACTGGAGGAAGGGTCACTGGTGGCTTAATGGGTGGGATTGTGACGGGTGGGATTGTAACGGGTGGTTTTACGATGGGTGGGATTGTGACTGGTGGTTTTACAATGGGTGGGATAATGGGTGGGATTGTGACTGGTGGTTTGATGGGTGGGATTGTCACTGGTGGTTTGATGGGTGGGATTGTCACTGGTGGTTTGACAATGGGTGGTATTGTCACTGGTGGTTTTACGATGGGAGGGACTGTGACTGGAGGTATTTTGACGCCAGGTGGCTTGACATGAATGGGTGGAACCACTATGGGTCCTTTGGGAGTCTTTGGTTTAGGTTTAACAGGCTTGTGCTTTGGCTTGCCGCAAGTGCCACAGCCGAGGATTGGAGAGGCTGAGGAAATGAAGAGCAAGCAAATGAGGAAGAGAGCATGGAGCTTGCTGGACTCCGCCATGTCTGTCTGTCTTTGGAGAGAGAAAGAGAGAGAGAGAGAGTGGCAGAGTGCTGCTGTTGTAAGGGTTTGTAGTGAAACGAGGGTGTTATATAGGAATAGTGATGAGTGGAACAAAACAAAAAACCCTAGGAAGCACATCACGTGAACATGGGGGCAAGTAGCCAAGGATCAAAAGGCAGCTGCCAAACTTTGCTAGTTGGCATAACTTATTCCTTATATTTGCATCCATTTGCAATTATTAGTTTTGGTTTTCCTGTGATAGAATTATTAATTGTTTAGTTAATTTGTTACTTTTTAAGAAAAAGTAAATTAAATCCACTATAAGTTATGAGAGAACCTCAAAATTTATTGATAATAAGAAAGGGAATAAATCCTATCATCCTAAAGGTGCTACAAATCTGTTAGGATCGATGGGACCAGGAGTTGAAGTCCAATTCGTACCTTGCATATTTTGTGTAAAAGTTACCTTGGCTGGTCTTTTTTGTTGTAACGTATAAAAATGTTGAATCTAGCTATATTTAGTTTCTTTTGGTACATTTGTCTGGAAATATTTGTCTCATATATAGCTAGGGTTGTCCAGTTTATCTTTTTTATCAACTATTTCATGCATATACACAGATTGTTCAAGAAAGGAATTTAGCTGCAGTTCATATATAGATATATAAATAAATATATGTATACATATATATATATATATATATATATATATATATATATATATATATGATCAATAACTGTTAGGGCATTCTTTTTTTTTTTTGGTCAAAATACTGTTAGAGCGTTCATACCAAGGAGTTATTGTGAACCACATGATTGCTAACTCATTGTGAGGTTAAGTCCACCCTCTTCCCGTTAGTAGTAGATAATTAATATAGTTTGTTAAAAAAAAAACAATAGATTTTGTTAGATTAGGAAGAACCCACGCCGTGGTGCAAGGACAACAAACAATAACTTATTGTTGTAGAAAATTTGACTTTGCTATTACCGTAACAAGATTAGTGTTTACGTTGTATATGTCCTATTACATTGTAGGGTATGCGTAAATGTAATTGCTTTACAAAATAATCGTTCAAATTAATGGGTACCCGTACTACTTTTCTTTTAAAGAATAATATTGTAAACTAACCCTTTAATATGAGTAATGTTTGAATGTTTTTCTAATTCCAACTCTTGGAGTAAAACTTAAAATTTAGGTTTTAAACTTATCCCAACTTCAACTCTAGGGCCAAATATGAGTTTTAACTCAAAACTTATTTTCGCGACAAATTTAGCTCAGAATTTTCCATGGGTTAGTGGACTAGCTAGCCCACCATATATGTGTATTTTTTTTTAGTTTTATATTTATAAATTCATTGAATGCAACGGCTAAGATCTAGTATGATCAAATCTAACAGTAAAAAAAAATAAAATCTAACGGTCCAAATTTAAATCCAACAACTAAAATAATTAAAAAAAATTCTTACACGTGTTTCATATTCTTTCATAGTATTCCACGAGTTTCATGGTGTCGATTTAATGATTTTTCAACATTTATCATAATCTAAATATTTTTATGTTAAAATGTTCATAAAATTAAATTAGAGTAGTCTACACAATTTTTTTCTTTAAGTTACTTTAAGAAAAAAAAAATATCCTAAAATTCATTTAATAATCTCGGGCTAAAAATTTAACCCATAAGGGTTGGAGCAGAAAAATTGTTTCTGAGTTAAAACCTAAATTTTCTGCGTTAAAAATTTTAGTTTTATCCCAAGGATTGGAGATGGTCTAAAAAATATATGTGTAAGTCGAAATTTCACAACGATAAAATTAGGGTTTAGATGTAAAATACGTAACTTGAATGAGCAATTTTTCAGTAGTAGCAGTCAGATTTTCAAAAAGTAATTGAACGAGCAATTTTTTCAGTATTATCACATGTAAAATAACACACTACGTAACTTGAGTTTTCAGTATCCATAAAAATTTCTCGATAGTTTAACAAGGGATATCTCTAAGTACATGCTTGACTGGTGTTTCTAACAATATATATAGCCCACACTTGAAAGGAGATGAACTGATAAACTAATGGCGGTACTGATTTTATCTTCACGTGTTGATGGTATGGGTTTAAATGATATGAGTGTATTATTAACATGTGCAAAGAGCATCAACTTTCTTTATATTTTTTTTCAATTTGGACATATATTGGATTTGGAGGTGATTAATTTTACTTTGAAACAGATCTGTGTGTCTATCAACTGTAGATAAGATATGCAGTCGCAGTAATGTGAACTGAGATCTTATTTCGTTCCCAATATGATATACAAATACCGCACGTCGATTGAAAAGTATACTTATAGTCAATTAATTGGAACCCTCTATATATCTCCTAAACCAGTTTCAGAAGTTAACCCAACCATATAATCAATATATTGTGCTAATATATATGATTAGTTTTCTTTGAACAATGATCTTTTACACTAAGTGGAGAGAGATTTGAGTTAAGCCATACAGTAGGTCAATGATAATCAATTGGTATTGGATGCATGCCATTCACAGGAATCAAATCTAAGACTTACCATTTACAAGTGAAGAGAAATATTACTAGATCGTAATATTAATTTCTTATAATAAAATTCATGTGTTTGGTGACCATCGCCAAAATATTATACCTAGCTAGTTTATATTATCTTTGCCACATGCTGCTTACATAAGGTAGTGCATGTGTGTACTTACTAAAGCATATACATGTGGCTTTCTCTTTTCTCAACTAATTATCAATTTAGAGCACAAATAGTAACCCACCATTGATTGATTAACGATTGATAATGAGAGATGCAAAGACATAATTTAGAAGTGATTAATGTTTGATTATATTGACTCCGTGCACTGTGATTATACGTACATGCATGACGAGGGAACATATATAAATGATTGTACCCATCGACTGTGATCACAAGTACGTTGGTATGTCCCAAAGTGCATGGTAAACAGAACACCTACTAGGAGCTCAAAGTTCAATTAAGTCCAGAGCCTCTTGCTTGGTCACAGTCAAATGAACTGGAAAACAGGATGATTACGTAAACAAACACGGAAGAGAGAGAGAGAGAGAGAGAGAGAGAGAGAGAGAGGGAGTACTGGTGGTGCAGTAGATCTTAGGAAACACAGTACAGGTAGGCAAGTATGTGAAATGGTGGTTGAGGAATGGAGAGAGAAAAATGAAAGAGCTGGAAGATGCAAATTGCAATGCATGGTGGCCGCGGATGGAAGATATATAGATCAAGGGCATGCATATATCAAGATATATGCAACTATATATGCATGATGGGTCTCAATATATAGGTTTGGTCTCTCTTTGTCTCTCTCTCTTTGTAAATTATGGTCCGTGACTAAATGAATGAAGGACATGAATTGAGAATGCATATGCAGATGCATGCAGCTACCTAGCTGTATGGTTTTGGTTGCTTGTGGTATCCGTGATTCTGCTTCCCTCATCTTGATGTGATCGGTCTCCTGCCCCATTGCCAAGTGGTTATGATTTTCGCACAACATTTTTTTTTCTTCTACAAAGCCTGATTTATATTTCTTTTTTAACTATTTTAACTAATTCAATTTAAAAATAAAAATAAAATAGGGTATGTTTGTACCATACTTTCAATCCCGAAACTACTGAGCACCGGTCAACGTTATACCGTCAATGACCCAAAAGAGTTTCCCTCCAACCAGGAGGCCAATCATAGCGCGACACGTGTCGACATCAGAAGCCAATCACAACACGACACTTGTCAATGTCAGAATGAAACTAGAAACTTTCTTCTATAAATAGAGATCATTCTCTCGTAATATTTCCTAATGTCATTTGTACGAAATCATTCACTAGTACTCACAAAAGGAGAGCTTGAACCTATGTACTTGTGTAAACCCTTCACAATTAATGAGAACTCCTCTACTCTGTGGACGTAGCCAATCTGGGTGAACCACGTACATCTTGTGTTTGTTTCCCTGTCTCTATCTATTTACATACTTATCCACACGAATGACCGGAGCAATCTAGCGAAGGTCACAAACTTAACACTTTCTGTTGTACCAAAGTCCTCGCTGATTTTGTGCATCAACAGGGTAAATAGACAAAATGGTCCCTCAGATTTGCATAACTCATCACTTTGATCCCTAACATTTCAAATCAATCAAAGTGGTCCCTGAGATTGTCCACCATCCATCATTTTGGTCATTCCGTTAAAAACTCCGTTAAGTGTTTCGGAACTCTTGGCTGGAAGTTTGGGCAATTTTTCAAAGCTTCGTAACTCAATCGTTTCTTAACCAAATTCGACCCATAATATATCAAAATGAAGATAGGAAAGTGTAGAATAAGATTATACCTATTTTGAAGCCCAATGGTTGCCGGAGATGGCTGGAAAATAGCCTCAAAGTTGACTGGTCCGAGAGAAAACTGGAAAACTCGCCGGAAACTGGGTAAACTATAAACGTTCATAACTTCTTCAATACTAAACGAAATCAAGTGATTCAAAAACTAAAATAAAAAACTAAAATCATACTTCTCAACGAGACGAAGAGAATGGTATCTTTTTTTATGGCTAACTCATATCATTTAAACCCATACCATCGAAAAATGTATCATTCTCTTCGTCTCGTTGAGAAGTATGATTTTAGTTTTTGAATCACTTGATTTTGTTTAGTATTGAAGAAGTTATGATAGTTTAAAGTTTACCCAGTTTCCGGCAAGTTTTTCCAGTTTTCTCTCGGACCAGTCAACTTTGAGGCTATTTTCCGGCCATCTCCGGCAACTATTGGGCTTCCAAATATGTATAATCTTATTCTACACTTTCCTATCTTCATTTTGATATGTTATGGGTCGAATTTGGTTAAGAAACGATTGAGTTACGAAGCTTTAAAAATTGCCCAAACTTCTGGCCAAGAGCTCTGGGACACTTAACGGAGTTTTTAACGGAATGACCAAAATGATGGATGCTGGACAATCTCAGGGACCACTTTGATTGATTTGAAATGTTAGGGATCAAAGTGATGAGTTATGCAAATCTTATGAATCATTTTGGCTATTTAATCAATA